ACAGAAAATTTAGTTTTACTCTTCCCCAGAATCCCAGTTGGCTTCTGAGTTCCTTTTCGGGCACCTTTAGATTAGAAGCCAGAGCTGCCCCTTCTGTCATCATCAGTGCTGTTCAAGGGAAACTTCAGCAGTGGGAGGATGGTGGATTTGGGCATTTAGGAAATCTGGTACAAATTCTACATCACTTGCCAGGTATGAGAGCAGAAACAAGTTTGGTAAGTTCCCCAAGTCTCAGTTTCTTCATTTACTAAATGGGACATTCACATATATCTCCCAGATAGGTTCAAAAGCTCAAACACATGATTATAAGTAAAGCCATGCAAAAGAGGTAGTCAGTAAGTGTTATTTCTCCAATGTCGCACACCTTTCTTACTGTGTCTTTGTCTTCTTTGCAATCTGTTATGTATTCAGTCTTTATCTAGTGACTACCTATTATGTGCCAGGCACTGTGCTATTTTTCTTCTTCTGTAATGAACTCAAGAACTTCTAAATGGGAAGGACTTAGTCAACCTGGATGGAATGGAGACTTGCCTTAGGCTTTATTTGCAGAGCAAACTAGCTTTTTTACTAAGAATTTATGTATGGGGGCAGCGAGTGGGGGCACTGATGGAAGTTATGCCCCCACCCACCTGCACTGGCCAGCTCCCCTGGCAGAGAACACCACTTCCACTGAGACCTCAATGGTCTTGGCTACCACAAGACTTCTCCATGCACTGCTGTGTTCTAGGTACCCTCACGTATGAACCAGGTGCAAAGAAGACTCCACTGCTTCCCACATCCCTGTTCAGGGTCTCCAGCTCTCTTTCCAAACTGGCTTCCAGGAAGGCAACTAATTTCTCTACTGATTAACCTTTTCTGCCTGACTCTGGATGACAAGACCTCTTAAACCAGCTTCCTTCTAGCTTTGTCCCTGGATTATTTTCCTTCCGCTCACATTTCCATTGCTAATTAGCCACCCATTTCTTCATTTCTTATTGGTGACCAAACCTCTTTCTTTTTTATTTCTTTTGTGTTGAATTTTCCAATTTGGAAGGAAAAGATTTTTATGGGTATATAATGTCTGTTTAGTATTTTTTAGGCTGCATTACACATATATCATTTAACTATTACAAAAACCCTGAGATGTAGGTGCTTTTTTTAAGATTAGTGAGAGAGAGGGAGAGCACAAGTTGGGTTGGGGGGAGAGGCAGAGGGAGAGGGAGAAGGAGGTTCCCTGTGAGCAGAGAGCCCCATACAGGGCTTGATCCCAGGACCCTGGAATCACTACCCGAGCTGAAGGCAGATGCTTAACTGACTGAGCCACCGAGGCACTCCTGAGATGTAAGTGTTATGAATCCTCCTATTTTGAAGATTAAAAAATCAAATCTTAGAAAAACTGATATGTAAGAAGGACCTTCAACTCCATATGCTCTTCCCATTACCCCAATTTGAAGAATTACTACAAATATTTTGCAAACAAATTCACCAATAGAATAGACTATAAAAACAGCGTCTGCAATTGTTGACTGATGCACACATGAAATTGCCTTTGTTTTTCATTAGTTAGATACTCGGTCCTAAGCACCTGGGCATCTTCTATAGGGAGCAGGTGAGTCTAAATTTTGAGAAGCAATATCTCAACCAATTCATCCATTTCAAGGTGCTCTTTAGTAGTATATTTTCCTAAGCATCAGTAGGACAGAGAGTTACTGTTATAATAGAGTACAATTATTACCATATACATCAATTCTTTGTGTCTGCATTGTATTTATCTACTGACAAAGTCTTTTTCCCCCAGTGTCAGCACTCTATCGTTAATACAGCTTTAGAAGAGAATTGTGTTCTCTTGTGACTCATATATCACTAACAAAACTACCAGCAAAGATCCAATTCTCAATTATAAGCACAAAAATAGGCCTCCATTTTAGCATGTATCAAGCCCATCTAGTTCAACATCTATTCTCTGACATAGATGTATTCCATCAGGATGGGCCAAGTCATTAGAAGAGCTTGCAAGTTCCCCCAACATCATGTTATCAGGTTGTATTTTTCTTTTGGATCTTTAACATTTGTCTTCACATCATAAAATCAGTCGTGACCAGTTTTAAAGCAGACTTTTAAAGGCATGTGGAACTTTGACATTGACACCTCACTATCAAGGTGGGAAAATCTTAGCAGACTTGGCCCAGAAAAAAAATCCCCTAATTTCATCAGTCAGGTTTTCTGGGGCAACCAGCCTACTACTTTACTCTCTCCCACACTACTAAATACCCAATAACATAGTTTATCCTAAACATCACAATGTAAAGGCCTGTCTTAGTCTGCTTGGGCTGCTGTAACAAAATACCATAGACTGGATGGCTGAAACAACATATATAGGGAAGTCCAAGGTCAAGTGCCAGCATGGCCAGGTTCTGCTGAGAGCTCTCTTGTTGGCTTACAGACGGCCATCTTCTTGCCATGTCCTGACATGGCAGAGAAAGAGGGTGCAAGATCTCTGGTCTCTTCTTATACAGCGTTAATTTTGTTGTGAGGACCCCACCCTCATGAACTTATCTAAGCATTATTATCTCCCAAAGGCCCACCTCCAAATGCCACGACTTTGGGGATTAGGGCTAAAATATATGAATTTGGGAGGAGGATATAAACATGCAGTCCATAACAGTGCCCTCATCACCTATGACATAATCTTCCTAAAAAGCTTTAAGTTGCTGGTAATAACCACTAGCTTGTGTACAACTCCTAACCACACCTGAGTAGAGGAAGAGAATAAGGGCAATCCAGGCAATCCAGAGTGAGTTCTTAGGCCCAGGCATAGCTTCATGAAGGTTCTGTGAGCCATGTTTCCTACAAAATGGCAGGAAGACTTCCTTACCAGTTGCCTTGAAAGCTAAATGAGATAGAAACTGGGAACATGCCCAAGGATAGAAAGAATGCACAAGAAACTTCCCCTTAAAAAATAATAATAATAATTGGACAATTAACACAATATAGCTTGCCTGGATTACAAGCCAGTTGGCACTGCATCAAACCCAGTTTGGTGGCTACCCTCCCCCAAAAGGAAAGTCTGCACCCAAACCCAATTCCACAGGGGTCCCTCAATATCCCCAGGTAACTGAGTTTCCCAGATAGACAACTCTTTTAACAATGGATTCCAAATCCAGATATCCCAAGAGTTTGAGTAGTCTATTTGTCTCACATTTAACATGACCACTTTGTTGTGTTTATACTATAAAAAGGTAAAGCAATAGGGGGCAAAGTACCTTCACTCAAACATACATTTACAGCATGTCCAGCAAAGCTTGCTAGCTCCAACCCATCTCCCTCCAGAGGCAACCATATATCTTTCTTCTTGCTGACCCTGACCTTGTAAGTTTCCCCCAATAAAGTCTATTTACTATTCATTCCGGCTGGCATTGTGAAATTATTTTTGAGCCCTACTGCAGACAGAGAGTGATCATGAAAAGACCCATCTTGAATAACAAGTGGTAGCCTCAGAGACTCACCCTGCACAAGTACCATATTCATATAATGAAAGGTGATTTCATTTTTAACAAACCAGCATGAAATAAATGTTGTAGATTGGATTCTACTGGTTTTATAGGTTATATACAATTAGCTTGTAAATTTGATTTGGATTGTAGTTATATAAGAGCTATAAGCATAAAGTGTTTATATCTGGCTCTATATTCACATTTAATCAGTATTTTAACGAAATAATTTAAATCAATACTTGTGGTTGGAAGATACTGTTATGTTTGTGAATTCTGGGCTTTGCTCAAGCCCAGGTGAATAACCCCAAGACTTCAGCAAGCGCATTTTTGTTTTCCCGTGAGAACTACCTAAGAGGCTACACCTGGCTAAAAATAGCTTTCTACTGTACCACAGTGGCTATTACCTGAGTAGCATTCTAAACATTTGGATATGAGGAAGGCTGAATGAGAAAGAGGTTACTCACCCCTCAGTATTAGAAAATATACTTTGGGCTAACTTTCCCTCCCCAGGCACAAGTTGTGCTGAATCAAACATGTTCATTTGCTACTCCTAGAGCTTGTTGGGAGCACCCCTTGATATGGAACTTTTGTTAGCCCTAAACTACTCAGGCGATCTCTGACCTTATCAAAATTAAAGACTCACCTGGAGTTTGGGAAGGGAGCAGACATGCTAAGACACTATATCCTCACTGGAAGACTGAAAATATTCCCTTGAGTCTCCATATGGAATCAAGCAGTCCCAGTCTTACTCTGTGACACTAACATTGAGTTTGTCTAGGAAACTTAGAACAGTGGGAGTTTTATCAGACACCAGAACCAAATCAAGTAGTACAAAGGTGACGGATAAAATCTCTGGATACACTGGAGTTTGTTTATCAAATCTAGAATCCTAAATCCCATTTGCACTTCTACCCTGGTCTTTAGGGGCCTCTTGACAAAGATGTGATCACTTGGGAATTAAGCCACAATGACTGCATCTCTAGTCCAGTTAAATTGGGTTCTTCTCTCATTTGTTTTTCCACAAACCATTTAAACTTTTGAGTTTCCCAACAAGCATAATTCACAAATTCATTTGCTATTGGGGTTCTCAATATAACTTTAATTCTAAACTTTAATGAATTGGCTTATAGCAATATTCTGAATATGTCAAATATCACTATTGATTCTCTCTTGGCATACTTGACATACACCTACCTATATATTCATTCTTCCAGGGAATTAACTTATGAAGTCAAAGTTCCAGGAGAGGATATTTAACCCCACTATTGCTTGTAACTTGAAACAAATGCAGCAATTGATTTTGTACAGAGATGAAGCACCCAGCTGTAATATCAACATATAACATTATCAAAATGTATCATATGTCAAATGCTTTTTTAATATACTGATTATAAATGTTTTATTAAAATATCCAGATAGTATCAAATATGTTAATGTTTATATGTATTTTAAATCAAACATGATCTGTTTTGTATTCTTTTAGGAAAGAGTTTGTATAATTGATTTCCTGTTTTGTATTGAATTAGACTAACCGGTGAATAGAAAACTCATAGGAACTGTTCAGACACCCAAGGTAAGTGCTTAAAAAATAGAACTATACTATTTAGTGTTTATTTAAAAAAAAAATTCCCGTAAGGTATTTGAAGGAAATCATTTGAAGAACTATAGCAGGTTAGCTGTTCTGGAAATGATGTTTCCTTAAAGAGAGGAAAAAAAATAAGATGGTACCAAAGAAATGGAATTTAAAAGGAACTTTGAATTAAAATTAAGATACAATGTAATGTCACAGTTCATGGGAAGCCTGAAGTCATGACTGAAAATAAGGTGCCAGCCTTCTGATGACCACACTGTTCTCCCCACAGCGACCCATCACAAGCCTCCCTCCCTGCTCACACTCTCCATCTGGAGGGGCTCATGGGAGAAGACTCTGCCTTCACACCTTCTGTAAGAGTGTGGGCATGTCAAGGAACATCCAGTGTGTTTCTGAGGATTTTATTTCTATGTGCCCAACGAGCTGCATGAAGGAAATTAAGATATAATGTGTTACAGTTAGGGAAGGGAAAAAGACAAAGGCTCTCGTACCAGACAGAAAAAACCAACTCACCCAGAGGTAGATTTAAAATATTGCCCAGAGGGGATAAACACACACACACATATGCACTATGTATACACACACACACACAACACACACCTATATACGGATATGAATGTATATGGACATATACTATAATCAATATATCGATAAACATGTATGTAGATCAATATACCATACATCCATGTATATGCACATGAAGAAAGAGAGAGTGAGTGCTTTCTTCAGGAAGATTCTGCTCATTTCTAGTTTGATCTTTCTGTGCATAATCATTTAAATATTTATTACATATTTTAAAGATGACCTATATAGATATGGATATAGATATAAATGTGTTAACAGTAGCAACAGAAATTTTTTTAAAATATTAAGGAATAAATTTAATTAGAAATGAGCAGAAGCTTCCTGAAGAAAGTGTTTTATCTCTACTGAGGTCCACAAAAGAGGACCGGTAAATCACATACCCTTTTCTTGGATAAAAACCTTAAACTTGTAAAGAAGCCAATTCCATTTAGTTTAGTCTATAAATTTAGTAAGATCCAAATAAAAATACTAGATAGGTTTTAACCTTGTGAAATTACAATTTTTTTCCTTTTGTACAATTTTATTGGCTAATTCTTTCAGAACAAAATTAAACAACAGTGATGGCTTTTCATCATTGTCTCATTTTTTACTTTTACTTGAAATACTTTTCACCATGAGGAGTTACGCCGGAATTGGCTGATACAACACACACATACTGTAATGTCTTAGATGAAATCAGCTCAACACTTCTATATTCTCATTGTGCTGAACTTCAGAAAAGGAGTCAACGCAGCTTATCTCTCTTTCCACTTTTTTCTTGTGGCTTCTAATGCTGCCATCCACTCCTGCCTTTCCTTCACTTCTGTCCTTTACTGTCTACGCCGCTTTAATCTGATGTCTACATATTGGAGATGACTCAGAATTTGTCTATCTAAACCCTTGCCCATGTAATCTCATTGGGTCTATCTATATAATCCTAAAAGAGTCAACCTGCACCTTTCATTTAAAAATAAATAGAAACACACATGCACACAAATATAAGTAAAGATGGGGAAATCTGATTAAGATCGATGGATTGTATCAATGTCAGTAACCTAGTTGTGATATTATACCGTTGGCTTTTGAAATGTTACCTTTGGGGGAAACTGGGTAAAGTATGCAAATAATCTCTCTCTATTATTTATTACAACTGTATGTGACTCTATAATTATTTCAATAAAAATTTCAGAGAGAGAGATCAAAGATTATGTGACTCATTACACCAAAACATCTTCAGATGGCTATTGTATTTAAATATATATTTTTTAAAGGGGGGAGAGAGAGAGAGGGATCTGATTAACTTTTAATTTCCATATCATGATTTTCTCTCGATTCTGGTGTTTATATACAGTTTTTTTTCAATGTAAAGAAATTACATTTTAAACGAGTCCTTTATTTCACCCAAACTGTTATCACGTACTGATTTTTAGCTAGTATTATATGTTAGCAATTCTTGCCCTTTGCAGCAAATCTAAACCCCCTCCCAACACGTATAGTCACTTCCCCAGCCCATCAAGTGCAGAAAAAATTTTATTGACCTAATCTCTTATTTAGTGAAACAAGCAGACCAAAGAAAAATGAAATGTTGAATAAGAGTGTGATTCTGATGTACAAACTAACATTTCTGCTAAACTCTGTGCATGTGCAGCTAGGCTTGGAGGAATCCTTCTGATGATTGGCATCCAACTGAAGAGAGTCGAGAATTAACCATGGAGCCATGGGAGTCTGTCTGGGGTTCCCTTGCTTCCCTTGTTTTATTCCTTTACTTACTCCCTGCCCTTCATGTTTCCTTCCCTTCTGCTCTTTTTTTTTTTTTTTTAAGATTTTATTTTTAAGTAATCTCTGCACCCAACATGGGGCTAGAACTTACAACCCTGAGATCAAGAGTCACAGGCTCTACGGACTTAGCCAGCCAGGCACTCCTCCTTCTGTTCTTGAGGTTAGAAAGCATCAGGATTTTTTAATGTTCCTCAGGTGAATCCCAATGGTTGGCGAAGGCCTCTTCCTGCAGGCTCTTGATGAAAGAGGAAGTTTTCCTAAGGAGTGAAGGAACCCGGAGCTCTCCTGGTTGTCAGCCCCGACTTCCAGATACTTTTCCACGCTGTGACTATTTCCTCCATTCCCTGGTGAAAACCACCCTGCTGCCACTCTCCAAATGCCTCTTTCCTCACTCAGACCTGAGTCTCCAAGCTGCCAGGGCCCATACCCTGTCTCACTGTGTTCCCATCCACCTCATGGTAGAAGGTGCTGCCTGCGTCTCTTCTGCCCCATCCTCCTCCCAAAGCCTGGAGGCAGTGCTTTTAACATTCGAGCATCCAGGGATCCCAGAGCCGAGCAGCAGAAGAAACACTCGATGTGGATTATAGACCCCTGGGCAAAAGTGGGCTCGTGGAATGGAACACAGGAGGAAGGCAGGCACACAAGGAACTGTAAGAATGGAGAGGTGAGTTGCAGACTGAGAGTGTGCAAGCACGTATGTGTGTTAAGCTGCATGTGTAAAAAGTATTCATGGTTTGCATTGTGAATAACTAATGAAAAGGAAAACTGTAACATTTTCTCCTGATCCCGTAGAAAGTAATACCTAGTAATTTTCATGAGTTGGTTATCATTTATATAATTATTATGCAGCATGCAGATTTAAGCATATATACACACATAAATATATATACATAAATATATATTTATATATATAATTTTGTGCTACATGAATATATGTGTGTATATATCAGACAAATTTATGGATTTCACTTCACAATGATGCTTACTGCTGCTTGTATCACTCATGTGACAAGTTATAGGTTTGTAAGATCATATCAGAAATTTCGGTATATGAAGCTGTTGTGAAGTCCACTGTTTGATCTATAACATATCCAATTGCTGAAAACGGAGTCCTGTTCTATCCAGTGATTCTTCACAGAGATTTTTACAATATTCTGTCCAACAAGGTGCCACCCTTTTTCTGTGACTTGGTCTAAAAGCAGGAGTGATTAACTTAAATATTTTCAGTACATGGTGCGTAGCTATAGAGCGTATGTAATATCCATCCTTCCAGCAGGGGGCTCTCTCACCATTAGAAGTATAGATGAGAAAAGATTTAAAAATTATCTACTCAGTTGCTCATTCAATTCATTTACTCACCAAGGTATCATTGAGTTCCTGCCCACTGCCAAATTCTATTACTTTCCAGGGATTTAGTAGGGAGGACTTCATTCTCCTGGAACTTAGAATCTAGTGTCTAATCTTTAGCTACCTCTACTAGAAACAATCATTGCCTCCTGAGTAAAAGCTGTTATTACCAGGTCAGCCACTTGGAGAGGAGGTGATTCTGCTTGCTGAGAAAGTAAGTACTTCGGAAAGGAGTTTGAGTACACATTAAATTTGATTTGCTCTCCTCTGTGCTCTGAGAAATGTATTCCCTCCCGCAACTAGAAAAGAAATTGCCTCTGTTTCTCCCATAGCTTTTCCTGGGATCCAGCCACTGCTCTATTCTGAGGGGGGGGAAATGACTAATCTAGTGGGACAAGCTTTCTATGCCAACAATTTCAAATTTGTGGTCTTAGAATCTATTATTCTAAGAATGATGAGGGAATTAGGATGCAGACCTCATAAACACCACCTAGTGCAGTGGTAGTCAACTGGCTTTGTCCAAGGACCAATTAAAAAAAAATTAAGATTTTTCAGATTTCATTGTTGTTTTCCTGCCAAATAAAAATGACATCATTGCATCTTATGGGAGAATCATTCTTACAACTTGGGTTATCCACTTGAATGAATGTTGTCAATGTAAAAGAGAAGATTGGTGTTGTGTTATGGACCACTAGAACGTTAACCACTGAACATAGTCAAGAGGGAAAACATCATGGCAGCTCTGATCTTTCTTCTTCACATTTGGGGCTGCATGCCACACAAGGGCCAAAGCAGGTACCTTCCTGATGTAGTGTCCAACCCTCTCATTTTGCAGATTAGGGATCTAGAGCCCAGAGAGGAGGCAGGACTTATCCATGCCACACGGTGAGCTCTCAGGGCATCTTTTTTGAGAAATTGTTTTTAAAGATTGTGAAATCATAGCATCTTAGAGTTAAGATGAATCTTAGGAAGTCAATCAATCCAACCTTCTGCACCAAGGGAAAACCACTTTGATAGGACCCCTAAAACGACATCATCCAAAAAGTGACAGATCGCTAACTGTGTTCTAGCTCTCAAAGTGTCCACTCATTCCTGAGTTTTCTCATTGTATAAAAGTCATCCATGGAGCCCAAAGATAATTTCTTGTCTTGTTTCTAGTTTTGTGGTCTGCATCTATATAAAGAATTGTACTGCAATTGCTTAAGGACAGTGATCATAACCCCAGTTCTCTCGTCCAAACTACACATTTTCTATACCAACTTTTCAGCCATTTTCCAAATGCTCTAGTTTCTCCTGACATCCTCAAATCCCAACCAGATCCTAACATGTTGATGCCAAATGTGATGCTTTTCAGCTGAATCTGGCAAACAATGAGAATGAAGCCAAGTATGTCCATTTCCCAGAAAACATATTTTACCTATGGGGAGAATAAAGAGGACTCACTCTGAGCAACTAAAAGTTGCCTTTTGTGCCATTTCAACCTATGGAAGGCTTTTTCAGTTGAGCCAGGTCTCCAGGCTAAAGAACGAGTTTATTTAGAGAAGCAAAAATCAAAACGTTTCATGCATATGATAGCAATACAAATCAACCCAGAAATTCCAAACACTACTCCCTCCACCCAAGTCCCAGGGCCCAGGCTCAGGGTTAACTGGGTTTAAATGGATCAATGAATGCCTAAAGGTCAGTGCCGTCTCAGACATACTACGTTGTCATGAAGCACATATTCTCCAATATCTAGAGATAGAACTATAAGGGGTCTTTGGTTCAAATAATAAGCACCCCAAGAAACCTACCAGGGAATCAACAATGCACTTTCTTCTATTAATAAATAATATATAGATGTTTATGCAAATCAGTGAGTACAAAATACCCATTGCAACAATTTCGAGATAATGTCCATTTCCTAAAACTAGTTTCAGCTAATTAACCATGGTGGAAACTAATCGATTGCCCTCAATCTTGCTGAAACTCTTTATGATACTTTCAGCAGCTTGGCAGTCACTCAAAACGGTCCCAGACTGATGTCAAGAAATCCATATTGGCAAATGCCCAGAATTTCATAGGAGCCTCCCACACCTTACGTGAATTGTCCTCTACATCTTTTCAGCCAGAAACCAGCCACATGCTTCACCTTACTGTCAGCAGGTCAGGGGAGACTTTCAGAGGCTTACAGTCACCATATTCACTGGGTCAAAAATAAGTTCACTTATGGGAGCCATGGAACAAAATATTTTAATTCATATCTTCAGAAAGTTTAGAAGTCACAGTACCAATACCTCTTCCCATTTGTACTTGGGCCATGTTCAGTTTTACTGAGATCATGTTCTAATGTGTAAGCTATTAAAATATTTCACATGCCCTCCATTTACTCTTTTTGGAGACATCTTAGCCCTCGAACATGGGACATTAAGATAATATTTTATAATGTTCCTACTGCAATTTCCTACTTGCAGAAACTATTTTGCCTTCGTAAATAATCTTTGCACACATGTATTTTACTCATCCACATTCTGCAGAGGAGGAAACAGGGTTTTAGAAGAGTGAATTCACTTGTCCAAAGTGTCTTAGGTAGGAGACGACAGAACTGAGCTGGAGCCCAGGTCTGTCTCCAAAGTTTATGCAAAGTACCACGCTTCACAGAGACTGCTTCTCACTGAGGAAGGGAGGATCTAGATTATGGCTCTGTATCTTCTACCTGGGAAGCATAAAAAATATCTGCAATGGGAAGGACTCATTTCACTTTTGACAATTTTCTTAAACATCAAATATCTACACCTACTTTCTAAACACTTATTTTTGAAAATCCTAAAATCACCCTCAACCCGATGGTGAGATCCAAATCCATCAGCTCTTTTTCCCCCATTAGGAAGACTGCTTCAAGTAATGAAAATTGCACAGATTTGGAAGTCAGAGAACGGGGTTCTAATTCCAACCTCACCATCTACTATTGTGGGTAAGTTATTCCCTGACATCTATTCTCTCAACCCTAAAATGCAAATAGTAATGTCATCAGTTTCCTAGAGTTGCTGATAATTATTAAATAAGAATATATGTACAAAATATTTCTCATAATCCTTTACAAACATTCTAATTACTATTATGCTTTGCATTTGTTGATATGATTTCCACTTTCTTCGTAGATGTAGCCATCTAGAATATTTTCATATTTCCACAAGATGTCAACAGAGTGAAGGAATTTTCAAATGTTAATTTTCAGTTTGTCAAGCATACAATGAAAATGCTGAAGCTCAGATTTCCTTACCACTTCATTTTACTTGTTCTAACAAGTACAGAGAACAAGGAACCTAGCTAACAATGATTCCCCATTACCTCTCTAACATAAAGCACTCAACTTTTATAATACATGTGAAGTGAGTAATAAGCACAGAAATACGTAATTGCTTTTTAAGAAATACTTGTTTTCGGTTTACACTTCAGAGTAATGTGGAGGACTAAATTATTTTATTTAAATGGACTTTTGTCAGGTAAAACTCTGAGTATCACTAATAGATTACAAAATGGGAGCATAGTCATGGGAAAAGGAGAATGAATTTTCAAAGGCATTAGACCTTAAACTCTATCAGTATTCATAAACCATAATGAAGACCACAACAATCTGTTAATGAAGTAAGATTAGCAGTCACATTTTATACTATTTCTATATACAGTTAGACATACTCTGGTGTTGTAACATTTTTAAGTGTAGATTTTTGTAATCCAAGATTTTCTTTCCTATTAACGAAGAAATACAATGGATATGTGTTCATCTCAATGCTAACTTATAATTGAATTTCTTTTGTCCTGTATCTTCTTATCTTTATGTTTGGAAAAAAAAAATCACGTTTAGGAAATGTGGTTCAATTTATACCTTCAGAGTCCCTCCCAGTTCTAGTGTCTGACCCATGTGTTGCGCCATGTGCTTTTCCTCTGCCTTTACCCTGCTCCTGAGCTATATTCCAAGAAGTTCCTGAGTCAAAGCCTGCTAGTATTTGTGCAGTGCCCCTCCTGCCAGATTTTTATCCTCTTCTAGCTGCATCCAGCTGTTTGCTCTGCGTATCCAATCATCTGCAGGCAAACTGCTCCCTTCATGGGAGTAATGAAAGGCCAGTAGACAGGATATCAGCAATCCTCATCCTCAAAAGAAAAAGCTGGCTTTGACAATAGTCCTAGAATATTCCCTGTCCAAAAGCAGAGATGCTGGGTGGTCCTTCGAATAATTATTTGTGCACAAGTTCATTCATTTAGAGGTGATGTAACAAAGTGCTAAGAGCATCATCCCTAAAACGGGATTGCATTCCCAACTCTGTCACTTCTTAGCTGTGTGATCTTGGGTGACTTCCTTAACCCTTCCCTGTCTCAGTTTCTTCATCTGTAAAATGTGGAATATAATTGTACCTATCTCAGAGTTCTTGCAAGAAGTCTTTGAGTTCACATGTGTACAATATTTAAACAATGTCTGGTGCATTGGATATGCCCGATGTCTTTCCTATTAGTGTTACTACCATTTTTTGTTTTAGTCACTCATTTAATATTTATTGGTCTCTGCTAGTGCTGTTACACCAGGCATTGGAACACAAACCGGAGCAGAGCAAACAACTAACAGCCCTCGTAACATCTACAGCGACACACACAAATCAAATAAACTCATAAATATGTAATAGGAAACATGATATAAATAAAATACATGAGGTGTGACTCTGCCCCTAAAAATCATGGGCCTAGGCCACCTGGATGGCGCAGTTGGTTAAGTGTCTGTCTTGCCTTCAGCTCAGGTCATGATCCCAGGGTCCTGGGATCGAGCCCCGCATTGGGCTCCCTGCTCAGCTGTGAGTCTGCTTCTCCCTCTCACTCTCCCTCTGTGCTCTCCCTCTCTCTCTCAAATAAATAAATAAAATACTAAAAAAAAAAAAAAAAAAATCACGGGCCTGTCTACCAGATTTCTTAGCATCTGCAGTTCCTCTAGTTTTTTCCAAGGGACAGGAAGGAGTCTGCTTGCTCCCCCAGTCTGTGAACTAGTACGGATTTGCTTGTCTGCTTCCTTTGTGCCCTGTTTCTGGGGAAAGGCCTGGTTCCCACTCTTCCACTGCTTAGTTTTGAACAGCTCTACTCAGCCATCCATATCTCATTCCTCCACCAGCGCAGAGCTGCCCCTTTGAAACTCAGCCCAGGCCCTGATTCTATTTAAATCAGCGGTCCTCCCAGACTCTGCCACTTGGCTGGCGGCTGAGTTGGATTATTAGGTGCATTGCCCCAGTTTCTGCTTCCCCAGGTTGCCCATACTCCTGCTACCTTCTACACACACTTTAGAATACCTGGATCTGGTGTCAAATGCTGCCTTTATACTTGTAACTCTGTGAGTTCTACTAAGTTTGTCAACCTTCCTTGGCCTTTGTAGTTTCATCCGTAAAATAAGAATAAAAATATCTATGCCATAGACTTGAGTGGCTTAAATAAGGTAAGACCTCTTAAGCAACTTTTAGTGTCTAACACTCGGTAAATAAATTCATTCATACAACAGATATTATCCCCTAGACACTGAGCACATTATCCAACAAGTACTTACCCCAAGCACTGAAGATACATGGGTAAAAAAAGACATAAATTGGTTTCTTCATTTGTGAAGATTATATTCTATCAAGAGAGGCAGCTAAAAAGTAAAATAATGCAAACTGTTGTTGTTGCTGTTGGGGTTTTTTGTTTTAAGTAAGCCTCATGCCCAGCATGGAGCACAGGGCAGAGTCCTAACTCGTGACCCTAAGACCAAAACCCAAGCTGAGATCAAGAGCCAAATGTTCAACCAACTGAGCCACCCAAGCGCCCCATATAATAATGTAAATTATAAGTACTGTATGGGAAACAAAAACATTGCTGAGATAGAAAAACAAGGGAGATTTACTATAGATAGTGGTCAAAAAGGGGGTGGGAGAAGAGACAGCCAGATAAAAGAGCATGTGCAAAGGTCCTGAGGTGAGAAAGATTAGCAAGATTGAGGGCCTATAGGACCACAGTGGCTAGAGCTTGGTAAGCCAGGGTGGAGTGGCACAAGATGAGATTGGAGAGGTGAACCTAGTAAATGGCTTGGATCTTTCCTATAATTTAATTCTTCCTCCTCCCACTACCATCTCTAGCCCCCAGTTTTGTTTTTTTAAGGAAAAGATAGGTACTGATACACAAAAGTTTAGTTGATTCCCATCTTAGGAATTCATCATGTTACTACTGATCCAGTTCTTTATGGAATAAAGAAAAGAAAGATTGAGATGGACGGTATGATATACATCATATTCTTCTTTTTTCTTCCTCTCTTCAAATGTTGGTGCACCCTGGGGGCTCAGTCCTATTTTGTGCTTTCCCTCATGATCTTCTTCAGTCTCATGGCTTTATGTAGCATTTGTATGCCCATAACTCCAGGTTATATCTCCAGCTCTGATTTTGCAGAGCTCCAGATGCATCTCTAAAAGCCCACTTTACCTCACTACTTGACTGTCCAAATTTAAGATGGTCAGAAGAGAGCCATACATTTTTGCCCTCCAAGCATGTTCTTTCCCCAGACTTCCCCATCCCTATCACCATCCAACCTTTCATTCAAATCAAAATTGCAGATAAAATCCTTGACTCTTCCATTTCTCCTGCCCTCCTCCATCCAATCCATGGAAGCCTGTCAGCTGGACATCCACAGCAGATCCCTTATCTATTTCTCTGTCTCAACAGCCATCCCTCTCCTAGGGTCATTCTGTAGTCACCTGGGCTATCTGAGCTACCAGAACAGTCTCCCAGATGGCCTACCTCTTTCCCACAGTCAGTTGTTTGTTATCCCAACAATCAAGTCTCCACACACCTGCCATAGTGATCTGTTGAGGACATGAATGTAAATCACATCATGTCACTCTCCTGCTTAAAACCTGCTGTGCTTCCCACTGCACTTAGTATTCAATTCAGACCCTTGACCCTAGACCGTGAGACCCTAAACCATCTGGCCCCTTAGCGTCCCTCTCCTACCTCACTTACTATTCCTCTCCTCCTGTATCACTAAGCTCCTGCCACACTGTCTTCAAACATATCCCAGCAGTTTCGACCCAAAGGGCGTCATGTGTCTTGTTCCCTCTGCCTGGTGCCCTGCCCCCTGACCTTTGCAGGTCTCACTTTTGCCTGTCCTCCAGCTCATGTCTCAAGTACTTCTCTCTCAGAGAAGCCTTCCCTAGCTTCTAGTTTTAAAGAAGCTCCTCATTCCCCTACTCATTCTCTGCAAAAGCTCTGCCCAACAGAACTTCTGTGATGGAAATGTTGGAAATGTTCTACAATCGGTGTTGTTCAACACAGTAGCCATGAGCCAAGCCACATGTGGCTATTGAGCACTTGAAATGCAGCTACTGCAGCTAAGGAACTGAAATTTTCATTTTATTTCATTTTAATTTATTTTAATATAATCAGTCCCATGTGCAGACAGGTGCTATCCTGTTGGACAGAACAGCTCTATGACATCACCATATTTTATTTTTCTCAGTGCACTCATAACTACCTGAAGTCATCATGTTCATTTCTTTTATAGTTCCATGAGGGCCAGGGTTCTGGTCTACCTAAAGAAAAAAGTACTGGACACACAAAAGGTCTTGTATTGATTATCACAAATTCAGCAGCTTAAAAAAACACACACATTTATTACATCACAGTTTCTGGGAGTCAGGAATCCTGGGCATGGTTTAGCTGGGACCTTTGCTTCATTGTGTCTCACATGTCTGCAGTCAAGATGTTGGCAGGGCTGGGGTCTCATCCAAAAGCTGACTGGGGAGGGATCTGCTTCCAAGCTCGTGTGGTTGTTGGCAGAGTTCAGTTCTCTGAGGGCCACTAGAATGAGAGTCTGTTCCTGGCTGGCTGTTGACTGGAAGCTGCCCTCAGTTCCTGGCCAGGTAGGAACAACATGGCAGCATATTCCATGCCAGCTCACTTTATCAAGGAAACAGAGAGATTTTGCTACCAAGAATCTTCTGTAAAGTAATCATGGAAATGATAGCTCATCACCTTTGCTGCATTCTTTTGTTTGGAAGCAATTCTCTAGACCAACCCACCCTTGAAGGGAGAGGATTACTCAAGTGCGTGAAAACCAGGAGGCAGAGATCATGCCGGGCCATTTTAGGGGTCCGCCTGCCGCAAGTGGTTATTAGCTGTTAGCTAAATGGACGGATGAGTGGAAAAATGAAGACTCTATTCTGGCCGAGTAGCTGTGCCACTTGCAGCACTTTTATTCCTCATTGTGGAAGGTAAAGCCTCTTGCATTAGAAATTATCAAGAAAAAAACAGAGGCTCTTTCCCAGAAGAAATATGAAAAGGTAAAAGAGCAACGAAAAAGGAAGCTCCTTAGCAAATTGGGCAGATCTTTACTTGATAACTATTAAAAGCATGGGCCCTGGATCATACCTCTCAGATTCAAACCCCAACACAGCATTTTCCCAGTTGTATGGGTAACTTCCCTGTGCCTCAGTTTGCATCTCGGAGTGATGTCAGGATTTAATAGATGTGGCAATCTTAGAACAGTGCTTGGCAGGGAATAAACACTCAAGAAATGTTAACTATTATTGTTATTATTACTGCTACTACTACCAAATTTTGTGTTGAAAACACATTTTCTTCTTTTATTGCTCTTAATGTGGTTCTTATAAGTTAATGATTGGATCACTCATGGTTCTTAGTTGCAGGCAACCAAAACCAACTCCAGCTGACATATGCAGAAAATGGCATTATTAAAAACATAAGGAGTGGCTCCCAGAATCACTGGAAGAACTAAAGAACTGGCATGGGGCTGCAGCCAAGAACACCACCCAGGATCATGAGGCAGAGCCTGTCTGGTGAGACCCCTGCCCCTGCAGTCCTCACTACTGCATTGTCACCTCTGAACCTCATATGTGATGGCCGCATCACCAACACCCCCAGTCCCAGATGCTGCAGAAGACCATCTGCCCTAAGGAACTGAGTCTCCTTCGGCTTTCACCACCACAGAGCTGGAGTCTCATAGCCCCCACATCACTGGCTCTGGGCTTTCGGTGGGCACCATGTGACTGATGGAGGCTAGGTCTCAGACAGAGGCCAGACAAGCAAGGACTTGGCATTTTCTTCCTCTATGATTATAAATAGGCCTGCCTCTTTCCAAGATTCATTAGAAGGGGAATTCCCAAAACAGAAGATGAGAGTTCCAAAGCTGGACAGCCAAAATAACTTTCAAAGGCAAATGTCCACTAAAGTGTCCATTAACGATTTCTCTGTGATGAGCATGATTTTTTAATCCATGCATTAAAAATTCAGTAATTTCCCACAGGGAAGTTCTCTCAAGGATTTACATCTCTCATTAAATTCCTTTCTAAGTTGAAATTATAGTCTTGGAGCTAAAGTGAAAGATTGGTCAAAATATTAATTGTTTGACTGATTTATTTGTGCTTTATTTTTTCACCAATAGATTTCCCTTTTTCAGAAAATCATTAATTGCATATTATATTCTCCACCAAGACTTGTACCCTTTCAGCACTCAGATGCCGTGATATTACAGCCTCTTGCCCTATAAAAAGTAAGATGTCTCTATTCATGACCTCCTTGGAAGAAGTTCAAATTCTTATTGCTTGTGGTATTTTAATTTTACTTTTCTAGGAGACAGTCATGAGAGTTTCTTTCATCAGAAACTTCAGAATAGATGGCTTTGAGCCCTTGTGATTCACTCCTCCACACATCAGAGAA